CATAGTTATTCTAAACTCAAGTCAGTACAGTGAAAATATATAAACCTACATCAATACAGGTTTTCGCTTAGCAACACTTTAGATCACTTTTTAACAAATCAAATACGTATAATACGTACGTACGTATGTACCAAAAAGACGTTCTAGGCATTATTACTTAATTCACACAATTATATATTTGTGTAATTGACGATCTCGGCTAAAAAAGTAACCAATGAACTTTGAACTTATCATGCATAAAAATAGGATGTTTTTGTAACAAATCATTTCCGAGTCTCTGTTAACTATGCTCTGATAAATTTTCTTCGTGATATTCATAATGAGCTCAAGAAATTCACCTGAAGTGATTGTTACAGAAACTATTTCCGATGATTCTACGAGCCAAAGCCTTCTTCGTGACCCAGATAGGTAATTAAATTATTTTTAATTTAGTCTACGTATTTCATTTTGAAATTTTTTTTTTTTTTTTTAATATAAAAAAAAAATCATTTTTATTTTTTTTCTTTTTATTGAATTGTTTTCTTATCGTTGTGCCGGATATTCGCCTATTCAAATTATGGGATCAGATTATAATCGTTTAAAAGATGATGATGAGTTGAACGACAACCTTATCGTCTTTTATATGAGGTAACACTGACAAAGTGAAATATGTTTATGATGAATTTCTTTAAATTGTTTTATTGTAACTGTGCATAATAGGTATTGTCTAGAAAAACTTCGTAAAAACGACGAAAATGAAGCAAAAAAATATTATCTTTTCGATTCATTCTTTTATCAGAAATTATCTGATATGAACACTAATTTCAGCAGGTATTTGTACCATCTTTGCTACTAGAAATTTTTTTTTTTTGGAATTACTTTAAATGAATACATAATAAATTCTTTTATTAGGAACAAAAGCAAAGTTTATGAAACAATGTCAAGGTGGATCAAAGTTGACCTTCTTGAATTTCAATATATATTTTTTCCAATTTGCGAAGAGTAAGGATTTTTATATTGGTTTATTTATTATTTTTTGTTTTAATTAGAACTTATATATTTTCTTAATAAAGTCAGCATTGGTATCTATTACAAATTATCAACCCAGCTGCGATTATTAGTAATCCAATTGATTGTCATATAGCGGTTTATGACTCTATCGCACCAAAGTTTAAGCATAGACGTGCTGTGACCATACTCAAGAGCTTGTTAATTGATTACGTACAAGATGTTAGAGGTGAAACAATTAATTCAAGAGTAAGAATTTCTCACTCAATCGTGAATACACCAAAACAGTTAAATACAGTCGATTGTGGAGTTTATATTCTACACTTTATAGAAACATTCATGGAGAATTCTAGTGAACTTGAACAAAAAATTATTGACAAAGAAACTGATGAGGATCAATGGAATCCTACCGCTTTACCTACAAAGCGTCAAACAATTCTAGAAATAATAGAAAATATAGAAGTTGAATATAAAACGTAAGTTAATTTAATTATTTCGTGTGTTAGTCAATTTTCAATGATGTTAACTTTATTACTTTAATTCTTGTGTGTTCTTAATACTGTACTGTACTACGTCTTATTCAATAGTAGTTGATTTACACAATTAATGTGACCTAGTAGTCATAAACCGAAAACCAGAGTCATAAAAGACTTGGTTACAAAATGTATTAACACACATTATGGGCTATGTTGCAACCGATTGTATCTTACAGCCGATTGCATAGTGAAAAATTTTGGCCAAACAATTTTATAACTTGGATAATTTTTTGGTTTCTTGAAATAGTAAGTAATAATACCGATATTTAATTATATCATTCAAAATAAATTAATATTGAGACTTTTATAAGATT